GGTGCCAGCCGAATTTCAGTAGGGAGGGTGTTCCACAGCCGAGGGGCCACTACCGAGAAGGCCCGGTTTCTCGTTTTTTCCTTCCGGGCCTCCCTCGGCGTCAGACCCCTCAGCCGTCCCTGCTGGCTATGTCGGGTGATTCGGGTAGATCTGGGTGGGAGAAGACAATCTGCCAGATATTGAGGTCCCAAACAAATAAAAAATTGCTAAAAATCATTGAGTTGTATTTGTCGGGGGCATTGATTCATACAAATACAAAGTGATGAATTAATGATATTTTCAACAAATTTGGTTATTTGTTTTTTAATTCATGCCCATGCCTAATCAACACTGAAAAAGACAGTATGTTTCCTGATTATCAGGCTTGTTTCTTTGGCATTCTTCTATCCAATTACTTCTAGTTACTATTCCTCAACTCCTTCTCTTATAAATACTTTCAAATGTGCTTCCTGTTTTCTGACCAGAAAGTCTTCATCTTTGCTCATAAGCTGAAGAACAGTATATCACAAGCACTTCTACCAGGATTGTTTTGTATATCCTCTGGCAGAGTTCGAACTTGCATCTCCCATGAGTCATAGCAAACTCATAGGAGCCAGTCATGTAGTCATCTTCTAGAGATGCTAATTTGGCCTTCCCAAAAGTTTTTTCACACTTCCTTTCTGAATTTCTGCCTAAAGCTCCTTAATTGTGGCTCCTGACAACTCACTCTGGATAACAAGCTGTTCAAGACTTGATCCCACTTCAAGCTAACCCAGTAACTCATCTCACAGCAGAAGTCAGGACAAGAGCCAGAGCAGTCAGCCTTCTTCTATATCCCATGTAACTGTCCCGCTTTGTTGCTTCTGCTCATAGAGTCAGAATTTTGAACTACCATTTCAAGATCATTTGGTTTACAATACTAAAATTTTTTGTTTATTTGGTTTATTGTTGAGCACTTTAGACTTTGTAAACCAGTAGTCCAGGCAGTTTCTCAGTGAAAAGCACATTGATAATAGAGGATGCACAATTCTTTTCTAATATTTTACAACCTACACTTGGGATATTTTGAGAATTTGAAGGGATTGAAGGAATTGGTAATATTATTTCCCCTCACATCCATTAATGTCATTAATTTAAAGGAGTTTTATCTATTTTTAGGACTAATTATAAATATAATATGATTATTGTTCATAAAATAATGTGACAGTTTAAGATTTCCTGTGTAATTTACTATTTATCCAAAAATAACATGAAGACGATTGTTGAAGGACCGTTTAAATGATATCGGCAAAGCGTAGCACTAAGCTTTGCAGATATTCTTCCACTGGGTACATGTAGAGTGAATGAACCTGGTATATTGAAGTGTTGACACAACATTTGTAAAGTTTAATCACCAATCTATAAGAACTTACTTAGATGGCTGTATGCGGGGAGCGAGATGGTGGTCCTGTGGAATTGTATGTTCTTTAAAAAAATAATTATTTACTAAATTAATTATTTCTTTTAAAACAAACTTTCTTAAACTAATTCATGTTATAAGAGCTAACAGACTTATTTTTCAGGATACTATTAGTGAAGAAAAGCTCAATAATTTGTTCTTTTTTTCTCCAGGAAACACTTATCGACTGGTGTGATGAAAAGGAACTTAACTTGATTTTAACAACTGGGGGAACTGGATTTGCACCAAGGGATGTCACACCAGAGGTGAGATATCTTTGCCTTTGAAGCCATCTGAACTTTAAGACACCAATAATGCTCTTCTTTACATAGTCATTCAGAAAATATCTGGGTAATACTAAAATATAAAATATTTTACATTTTTTTAAAAAAAACCCACTTGTATTAGACATCTTAAAAGTAAGCAATTGTTTTCACTTTACTGTCATCAGAGGGTTGTGTTTTGTGTATTGGCTACCATTTAATGTTCCTGCTTATCTCATGTGCCTTAATGCTTGACATATTTCTGACTGGGATTTACAGTTTTTTATTTGATGATGGATGTCAGAGTGTAAGGTGGGGTTCCATAGAGAGGGCTAGATCATTACCAAACAGTGTATAAGCACCTTCTCAGATGCACCCGCTTCATGCCTTGATTTGGCCTGAGGGAAGAGTATCAGTCCACTCTATTTGTTTTGTAACCTTTGTTCCTTCCTGAGATTTGTGCTATAGGAAACCTTAGAGCATGGGTCCATGGAGATCTTGCTTCTAGTCTTACTCTTTAATATAGTTGGACACCAAGAAGCAAAGTCCAAAAACATGTATTTCTGTGTGCATATTTATCTGTATATTATAGACAGGGATGCTCAAACAAGTTTTATTACCTCTCTGGTGTAAAATTGCATAATCATTGCACATACATCCAGTAATATGGCAATATTTCTGTGAGATGTAACTCCACACTCTGGAGCAATTTGGCTGAATCAGAAGATTTATGTGCTAGGCCAATCCCAAAACTCTTCCCCAGACTATTGGCATTCCGCTGAGATGGAGGATGTGAAGTAGATGAAAGGAACAACGGGCACTATATGGATTGCACCATATAGAACTAATATACTAATGTACTAATATGTCCTGTATTACTGTCTGTGCATGTGAATAGAACTCTTGGACAATGTGTTCTGTCTACACATGATACTTCCATAAAGATATTTGAACTTTAATTTTTCTTTCAAATGCTTAACAGCTGTCAGAAACAGTGCATAATATTTAGGGCTAAATAACATGAATTTTCATCTTGCATATTATGTGTTAGGAGTGCGATAACAACAAAGATTTATCTGGATTATAATATATTTTCCTGTTACTGTTTCAGTACGTTCATGAGGATTTCCTTGTGGTATATTTGTGTTTGTCGTATTTTATCAGTCTTTAAATTTACTGTTTATAAAGGAGTTTGAGGACTCTTGGATGTCCTTCAAGAGCTTTGAAAGAACTGGCTGAAGAACTCTCAGAACCACTGTCTATTATTTCCTTGAAATCATAAAGGATGGGTGAAGAGTTAAGTGAAAAACTGAAAGAATTGGGCATGTTTAGTCTTGAGAAAAGAAGATTGAAGCATGTTTAGTCTTTCTTAATATGATAGCACTTTTTAAATATTTGGAAGGCTATACAGTAATACAGAGAAGGGGCAGGATCTGTTCACGATCGTCCCTTGATGCAGGATACACAACAATTGGGCTCAAGTTAAAGGAAGCCAGATTTTGGTTGAATATCAGGAAAAACCTCCTAACTGTTAGACCAGTGCAGCAGTGGAACCAACTACCTGGAGAGGTGGTGAGTGCTCCAACACTGGAGGCATTCAAGAAAAATTTAGACAACACCTGACAGATCTGCTTTGATTTAGATTTCTGCATTGAGCAGGGGGTTGGACTCAGTGGCCTTATAGGCCCCTTCTAACTTTATGATTCTATGATTCTGTGATTAAATAAGGCCTAACACTGTGCTTATCTTTGAAAAGTCAAAAAGGAAAAAACTAGCAGTGAAAGACTAGCTATTCTGACATAAATCCCAGGGAAAATTCTAGAGCAGATTATAAAGCAATCTTTCTGCAAGCGCCTTGAAAACAATGCAGTAATAACTAGAAGCCAGTGTGAATTTGTCTTTTTTTTAATTTTTAATTTTAACAAGGGGGTGACAAAAAGGAAAAGGGGAATTGAGGTTAATGGGGAAGAGGAGAAACAATAACATACTAACATCCATTCTATACCTATTGCCGTATCAAGATTCCAAGTTCCTCTATTTACTCTTTTCTGCCTTCCAGGTTTAAGTTCTCGTTTCAATATATGCTATTCATGTGCTGCCTGTTGATTCAGTCCATTTGTAGAATAAGTCCCATCTTTCTGTTGCCTTTTGTAAAGGACAGTCCTTCATCTGATAAAATGAATTTGTCAAGAGCAAATCTTGCCAGACTAATCTTATCTAATTTTTTAATCAGGTAACCTCCCTAGTAGACAGTGGGATTGCTGTAGTCTGTGAGGGGCAGGTGGAAACACAGATGATTACAGAATCGTACTCAGAGAGGCTTATCAAAGCCTCCGTCTCAAACTGGGAGGATGCAACAAATGGGGTAGAACAAGACTCAATCCCGGGCCTAAAGCGCTTCAACATTTTTATTAATAACTTGGATGAGAGTGTGGCAGGAAATGCTTATCAAATTTCCAGATGACACACAATTGGTTGGAATAGCTACTGTATAACCCTGGAAAACAGAAACAGAATTCAAAAAGATCTTGATAGGCTCAAGCATTAGGCTGAAAACAACAGAATGAAACAACGGAATTAAGTATGTAAAAATGTAACAGGGATAAGTGCAAAATTCTACACCTAGCAACAAAACAAACAAACAAAAAACAAACAAACTACACAGTTGCAAGATGGGAGATACTTGGTTCAGTAAGAATGTCCGCGAGAAGGATCTTGGATGTTGTGACGTCCTCCTTTCACGTCACAATGGTCACGTCACTCTCATTCACACTTTACACGCTGCCACCAACCACACTTACTGATCTGACTCATCAGACAATGGTATGGATTTCAAAATAAAAAGGATTGTTTATTGCGAAAACATAAATAATAGTAAATCACTGTGGAAACTAAATAAGGCAATTGATGTGATAAAGTATCCCCCTCAATCACTCTCTCATTCAGACCTACACTAGCACAGTACCTCATAACATGAATAAACAGGCCCTAACACCCTAACCAAGTTCCTAACCGAACCCTATCTCATCCCAATCTTCCCATCTCCCGATTCTCTCAATTCTCCCCTCACCACATTCACTCCCCCCTTATATACATTAACTCCACCCACTGAAGTCCCCCCTCCTGTCCTGCCATAGGTAGATAAACTCCAGCCATAGCAGTGACAGGCAGGTGACATCATCACAGCCGTCACATACCTCCCCCCTTATAAAGTTGTTTTGCGATGAAAAGCTAAAGTGCTTTTCATTCCAAAACAACTGCACATGAAATATACGACTACATACCCCCATATAACCATAATACAACCACATAACAATTTTAAGCATGAACATATCTTCTTAAATATACTTATTTTCCAAATACCCATCTGTAAAAATATACACATAGGTAATAATACAGTCACAGTATCAATTTGCAACTTTTTACACTTAGTTAAAAAAAAATTTTTTTTAAGAGTCCATGTTTACTCATCCGTCGTCTTCAGGTCTTCGGGATAAGGCATCAGTACACAGTTCATTGTCCATTTGAC